ATTTAAATTACCGGCAATGTTTACGTTAGACGTAGACATCTTTGAAGGTGTGTTGTCTCCGTTAGAAAAATGTTTGACCAACATTGCTTATTGTTCCATTGTCAAACTTGGTATGGGACTCGACTCCATGTTTATTTGTGCGACACTAGGGTAAAGTTCTCGTCTGGGTACTTCTCGCTTCGTCTTAGATGGCCACCACTTCGGGTATCCTATTTGTTTGAAACAACCGGTATAACTATGGCCTTGTTTGCCACAATGTGTACAATGCTTCGGTTCTCCATGTTTGCCTTCCTTCTATGCATACCTTCCTTGCTGCTGTCGATTCTGATTGGAATCGAGGTGTTTGTTGGCAGCACGAGCATGAGAATGGGTTTGGAATGCCGCTGCCTCGATGGTGGATCTTCTTCCTGATGAGATCACCTTTTGTTGTTTGTCCTCATAAACCATGTGGTAAGCGGATCCCAAGCTTGGTGTGGGCTTCATGGCAAGAATTTGTGTCTTTATAGTACCAAAGTGCTCGTCTAATCCCATTAGAAATTCGTACAAATGTTCTTTGTCCTTGGCTTCTGTCAATCTCTTTCCGACCTCACAAACACATTTTCCACATGCGCAGTTTGGCATGGGTGAAACCGACTGGATCTCATCCCATAGTCCTCATCTTGGTGTAATACACTGATACGGAGGTTTTGTCTTGACGAGTTAAGGTGAGGGCCTGTTTCAGTTCATATGCACGTGGTGCACATTCTTTCCCGAATCGTTCCTTCAAGTCATTCCCAGATCTGTTCTGCCGTGGTAGCGTATTTTACGCTATTCCTGATTTCTTTCTCCATGGTTGTAGTAAGCCATCCTTTGATCATAGCATCGCAATGTCTCCAAAGCATCAGATTTGGTGACGTTGCTCCTGGTATTGGTATGGTCCCGTTAATGAAACCAACCTTGTTCTTCGCGAAGAGGAAGTTCTCCATCTCCTGCGACCAATCAACGTAGTTGTTATCATTCAGCGGTTCGTTCACATGCATCTATCGGGGATAATCAGAGGCATGTATGTAGTAGGCTGAATTTGGGTCGACTTGGGGTAGGGTCGTGTCGTCTTTCTCGGCGGTTGGTCCTGCCATGGTGAGGAGGCAGAATTGACGGCTGCTTTAGGGTTTGAGACGGGATTGTGTTAATTCCCGCTCTGATACCATGAAAATATTTGGGATCTCTTATTTTCTGTGTATTGAGGAGTACAAGAGAGACAAATATATATACACAAATACAAAGAACTAACCAAAAATAAAAAAAGAGAAAGAAGGGGATAAGTATGGAATGGATTTGGTTTCCAATAATAAATTATTATTTTATAAATGAAGCTGATTATTTTGGTACATAAACATTTTTAATATAAATACACATAGATAAGAACTAAAAAGTTTAAGATACTCGTGAAAGATCACATTGTTATGACATGCATTTTGGGTGCTCACTAAAGCACATTTTGTGCTTTATGCAAAGCTTCCTTTTCAAGATACAATTGTGGGTAAAAAAGACTGAGATTTTGACTTGTTATGTTTTTTGTGATCATCGGACAATTATAGTTGCTTATGTTCAAGTTTTTCAATGAACTTCACTCTTTTGTCTATTTATAGCAATCTTTTTTAGTTTTGTAAATGGTTATTTGAATATATTTTTTTGAACGGATGCACCACATGTCTGCCGTTAGGACAAGCAGTTTGGGTTTCTGCTATGGATTCGATTTATTTAAGTTATAAAAGTGAATAAGCAGTATATATGTGATATGGGTCATGATGTAGAAATTGGTTTTGGCCAAACTATTATTTGATTATATTTGTTCAATTGAGCTTAAAGGGTACTTTGAGATTTTTTTAATTTATTGTGTTGAGATTTGTGTTACTTGAGTAGGTGTAACATTGTTTGAATGGTGAAATAATTGAGTATGAATTTTGACTTCTTCCTTTTTCATCTTTATCTGCGGGTTTTGGATTACAGTTATGACCTATCTCTTTCCTTCTCTATCTCTTTTCTCAATTTATGCTAATCATCTCCCCTATTGAAACGTCTTCCCTCTTCCTCTCCATCTTTAAGGTTTTTTTAATTCATTCCCAAATCTCCTCCTACTCTCTGCCCTACGGGACAAAGGAATCACAACAAAATTGGGTGTTATGCCTGTTGACAACAACCATGGATTCACATCACAGGGTTGTTGGATTTACAGCAACACATATACGCATCTGATGAGTTTTTGTTCCTTCTAAAATTTTGCTAAGATTGTTTTCCAAAATACCATATATATTTGTGGGTAAAAAACAAGACTTTGACCTAGTATGTTTTTCGTGATTATCGGACAGTCAGTTGCTTCTCGAGTTTGTAGTGGATGGAGGGATGCTATTTGCTGAGAGATTATTGGTCTATCATCTTCTCATCTTTTTAGTTTGTTCTATTATGTTTCATAGCTTTGTTGTTTTGATTAATTTGTCCTGGCTCTCTACATAAACTATTCGAGCTTTTTAGTAAACTTTGTTCTTCATGATTTTGTCTCCGTAAAACTATCTTTTTAAGTTTACAAATGGTTATTTTAGCATATCTTTTTTTAACAAATGAACCCATATGTTGTTGTTGTTAGGACAAGCATTTTGGGTGCTTCCCGATGCATTTTTGTATTTGGCAAATTTTGTTTCTTTATTTTTAACACTAACAAAACTTCCTTTTAACTCCGTGTATTACTTTGATCCTAATATAAATATTTTGTTGAGTACATTCCAAAATAGTATTACATCACCCTTCTTTAAATTTGTTTTGTTTCATTAAGTGATAATCTTCAACCACTTCTTTCCATACGACATTGTCCTTTACATTATTTGTTGTAACCTCACAACGAGAGAGTTTACAATAGACTTAGACGGGTGATATTCCAAGTTCTTTGTAACCATAACTATAATCAATGAAATGATACCTCTTAATCTTCATCATTAGACTTGATGAAGAATTTTTCATTGTAAGCACAACTGAAATTAATGGTGGCTCTTAATCTTGATGAGTGGTTTTACAACTTTTCTCCAACCATAACTAAAATAATGAATGTTTTTAATACATAGTATATTATATAAATAATCGTTTATTAGCATCACTTCCACCATTTTAAATTAATGGAGTTGACTGATCTTAAAAATGATAAATATAATTTGATGATAAGAATAAGTATTTTTAGGATTCAGGAATCTTTGAATAGCAAAAAAAAAGGGGAGAATTAATTAGTATGATTTTAATCATATCACAATTTTATTGGATTGTTCTGGATGAAAGGTAATATTCGGTTCACCATCAACATATATTATTTAGGGTGCGTCTGGACGGGACACAAATAAATAGTCCCATGTTTGGTGTGTCATGAGACAAAAATGAGATGGGACAACATGAGACAAAAATAAGATTAGGTGGAACTATTCTTGAGTTTTTTTGTTCTACCACAAAAGTTAGAACAACATGAGACTAAATTTGAGATTACAATATTGCTCTTATATTATTTGATATAAAAATACAAACCTAATTTAATTGCATCCTCTTTCTTCTCTTCCACAACCTCCATTCTCGATTTCAGCCTCCATTCTTGAAATGTTAAACTTTTAACGATGGCGTGACAACTATTATTTATAATTGTTGTGTTTAAACTTTTTAAATTATGTGCGTATTTAGAATTTATGGTATGACAAATGTTATTTACATGTGGTTTTCGAATGTTTGAAAAAAAATATTGATATCATAGGTTAAATAATTTAAATATATTTTTGATTGATTTGTTGTCATTTACAATCATTATATGATATAAAATAACATTGAACAACATTTAGGGGTATTATGGTCATTTTAGCAGTCTTGTCATGTCCTGTCCTAATCGACCAAACATAGGACAAACAGTTAGTCCTGTCATGTTCTGTCCCGTCCTATTCTATCACTACAACTTTATTTTTCACAAATAATATATTGTATCCCTCTTTTTATTTTATTTTTTTCTTTATTTAATTTTATGTTATATATCATATACTTACATTATTTGTTACCAATAATTTATATCACACAATACAACTATATTTCATAATTTATTAATTAAATATTTTTGAATTATATTTCATAATTTATCAACAGCAAAGTAGAATTATATTGATTAATCTCTATAGCTCTTAGGTTGCGAGTTCAGATACATCCATGAATAAACCCACATAGTTTGATGTGAATAACAACAAAGTAATATGAAAATATTGCCTAGAGATGCATCTTATTCTTATATGGTGTTTATGCTCAATCCTCCTGGGCCTCTTTGATCAGCCATAAAAAGCATAGTCTAGAGTTCCAGAACAAGGACTAGTCCAAACCTTATGTTGAAAAATAAGACTGATTTGGGCCAATGTTCTAACTAGTTTGAACAAAGACAATTTTTTTTTACGTTTTCCTAAAAATATCCACTATTGCTTCCGTAGACACATTCAAGTCCCAATCATTTTTGGTTCAATCCTCATTCTAAATTTGTTTCTTGATAATTTATGCATCTTTAATACCCCAATCAATATTGCATAGGTGAAAATAACCAATAGTGGGCAAGAATAAAACCACCAAGAACCATATTCTAAGTCGAATAAAACCCATATATAAGCATAACACATCTTGTGTTCTGGACTACTGAATGAACTTGAATCAAAAGAAGTTGATCGTGCCACAAAATCATAAACCCTAACATATGATCTAATCCCCAAAAATAGCGACTTTTATCTGTGTCAAAACTGCAAGTTGGGAAGAATGAAAGGCAATAGAGCCAAAAATAAGTTGTGTATCATCGGGATCTCGGTGATGCACTCTAACGAGTCGCAATATAAATGGGTTCAAATTAGGGGTAACGAAACTCAAAGGGTCAATTCTTACATTCTTGAAAGAACAAGGGGGAAATGCATCTAAGTGACAAAATGTGGGTTCATTTTTAACACACTCATAAACACCTTTCGGGCGTACATCAATCCATCACGCCATAGTCCATAGATCGAAACAATCATCTGTGTTCTTTCCTTGACTCCATTTCAGTCGGGTAAAGAAACTCTTGGAATTTTATTATGGCCCGTTAGGGTTTCGCTCTTCTTTGTAGGATTTGTTATTTGTTTGTGGAATTTCTTGATGATTGTTCTCTACGATTGATATTATGTTGTGAATTTGCAGAGATTTTCAGGAAGATAAGAAATTACATAAAATGCAGGTTAGTAAGTCTGTAATCAAGTGGGTAATTTGCTTTTTTTGGGCGGATTAATTTCAATTTCTGTTATGGGTGCTTGTATTAAGCAGTATGTGTGTGTGTGTGTGTATGTATACATACATATATCCCCTGGTTTTATTTGAAAAGTCTATATTCCTTGGCAACCAATCCCAAAGATCTATGAACTAGTCGATGCCTAACTATATTACACAATACATCTTCAATCAAGAAGGCTTTTGAATCGTAGACCTTGTTTGAATTGTTTTCATTCACCTCTCTTGGCTTAATCTTTGTGCAAGGATACTGTAAAAAAGTTTACGAGATTGGATGTGATTATATATGCCTATGTGTCTGAGTCTAAAACGAAGTCTATAAAAGAAAGACTATAGAATAACAGACAGGTACTTAAGCTGAATCCTTTATTGTATTTTTATTTCTATCTACTGTTTCCATATTGTTCCACCCTATCAAGAATTTTTTTTATCATGATGTCGTATTTCCGTGGTCACAGGAGTCAAGTATTAGTTTTGATTTTTAGCATAATCGTCTCCCCTTTTTCAATGAAAATTGACCAAAATTCCCCCTATCGTATCTCGATTTAGTATACATAGCATGATCAACATGTTGGATCCAGCTACATGGAGGTTTATTTGACTTTACCTATGGATTATCAATCTTCAGCAAGATGCATGATAAGAAATATAGTATCTGATTTGTGGTGAGTAGCGACCACCTGTGACGTGATCTTTAAGATGGGAGTGAATATTTGAGTTAGTGTCTACTTTGTGATAAAAGGTATATTAATTGTAGCTCAGGATTCACCAATAATAGCAATAACAAGTCTCCACAGTCCCAGATAAACAAGTGAATGTAAATATGACCAAAACAATAAATTCGGATGAAGAAGATCTAAATGATGCAAGTGATAATTCGATCAAGAATATTGGTCCACAAGCGTGAATAAAATAGTAAACAATCACAATGGCTGCTTTTGGTATATAGGACAAAACAACACTCACAGTTCCATTTTTGGCGCGAGATAGGACAGGGATTGGGTGGGATTGAATGGGTCAAAAAAGGCTTCTTTCTGTTCCATCAAAGATGGTGGAACAAGATGGGACAAGGATGAGATAAACTAATCATTTACCAATCTACCATCATTTGATATGAACGTAACATGTTATTTGGTTTAGTGGTCATTGCTAGCACTTCTACCACCAGTACCACTATCACTGCCCATCACCGCCTCCACCTCTTCCACAACTACCAACTCTACCTCCATATCCACCACTGTCCACCATCTACACGTCCTCCACGACATCACCTCTACCTCCTCCACAACTACCAGCTCCACCTCCATATCCACCACTATTCACCATCTACACATCCTCCACGACACCACCTCCACCACAAACCACCGTCTACTACCGACCATCACCACCCGTTGCCGTACACCACCACCACCAGCGACCACCTCCACCATAAGCTACTTACCACTGTCCATCACTAACCTCTATCTCCATCATTGTGGCCACGACCACCTCTACCTCTTCCACAACCACCATTTCCACTTCAATATTTACCACTATCGGCCGCTACCATCACTATCCATTATTTCCACATCATCTACAATCACTATTGGCCACTAGCCATTACCGCCTCTACTAGCACCACTGCTAACCACCTCCTCTTCCACCACCTCCTCTTCCACTACCACAGCTGGTTACCAGGGGTGATCATCTAAACTGCACAAACTGCCCCCACCGCACCACAAAACGCCATTTAGAACTTTTGCACTATGGTTTGCAGTTTGCATTTTCATCAAACCGCACTTTGTGGTGCAGGTTGCGGTTCTTAGTCATCAAACCGCGGTTCAAACTGCACTGCGTCGCATATCTTTATATATTTTGTGTGTATATTTTTTTATATATATTCATTTATTAAATGAAAATAATTAACACATTGTTGATTATTTGTTAATTTTTCAGTTTTCCTTTTAAGCTTTAAGGTCACAAAATTCCTTTTTTGAGTTACTAGCTGTGTACCCGCGCAATGCAGCGGGAGCGATGAATTTTAACGATTTTGAAGTTCCACTGGTTTTATAAGATAAGATTTAACGATGATATAGGTTACACTTGGTCTTTATATATTAATACAATTTGAATAAATAAGAGTTATGGTTCCAATTACAGACTATCGATGACAAAAATTGTATGACAGTTTAAAATCCAATATATTTAAAATCCAACATATTTTAAACGACTCCACAAATGTATTCGATTTACACCAAAAGCAAAGAACCAAAAAACTTGAGTTTGAAGATGAACACTCAAAAACAATAAGAAAAACTACAAATTTGACAGATCATAAGCCATGAAAAAACAAAAAAAAGATGGATTTTAGAATGAAATTTCAACTGCTTACCCTCTTTCTTGTCCAGAAACTCAGATTAATGTTCGAATTAATACATGTATGTATGTATGTATATATATATATATATATATATATATATATTTCAAAAAAACCTAAGAACATATTAATTCAAAACATATTATACAGTGTAATTTGGACAGCCTAACTCCAAAATATATAATATATATATAAATAAATAACTATAAAAGTATAAATCGTAAATATTAAAAATATTTTTTCACAGTATATATAATATATAATAATATAATTAAGTAAAAAATTATTCAATATTGGACTCATTTCGAAGGTATTAACGAGACAATTATAATGGTGTAACTTGTTAAAATAAAAATGTATTTTTTAAACATGTTTTAATTGATATACGATTATGTATGTTAATTTGATAAAAGTTTAAAATGAAACATTTAAAAGTAAAAGACGTAAAATAAATTAATTATAGGGGTATAAAGTGTAAATTTAAAATTATAATTTTAAAAAAATGTATGTGAGAGGGTGAGTGTATGTGAGGAGAGGAGGGAGTGAAAAGGTGAAAAAGTGAGTATAAAGGGTATTTTGGTCATTTAGAATTTTAAGACTTTAAGACTTTTGCTAAATTTGTTTAATAAGATAGTATAGATTTTCAATTTTCTTTTGTCAAACATCATGGTCGAAATATTTTTAAGTTAACTTTTAAGATATATTTGGATTAATCACCGAACTATTTAGTTTGCGTTACACCTTTTTGAATTACGCATTTCGTACTTATAGAAAGTTTTTGTTGTATTGAATATAGGAACATCATCGTCGGAATTATTATGAAGCTGTGATTGTATAATTATTGCATTGAAGTGCGTTAGGTTCAAACCACATAAGCCGCACCACACTGCACCGCATTTTGTGGTGCGGGTTTTTGTGGTTTGAGAAAATATTCAAACCGCATATGCGGTGTGGTTTGCAGTTTGGCCCGAAACCGCACCAAATCGCACCGCAAACACCCTTGGTTACCATATAAAATCATTAAACAATATTTATGAGCAACTTGTCCAGCGCAGTTCTATCCGGTCCTAGTTGTGCCGAATACTAGAGAGACAACTTGTTTTGTCTAGATCTGTAATGTTCTTTTTAGCTGTTCAGTCCTATCTAGTCCAGTTCTGCTTGCCTACTAAACGCTACCAATACGATCAAATACTAAATGGCACATAAATCGAGACATCAAGATTAAATGTGGTTCATGCCATGTGAACCGCTAGAAACATATAAAGTGTATGGCTAACCCAATAACGAAAGTTTCGTAAGGGGACTGGAGCAGGCTACCATGAGACAAAAGATCTTCTTTCTAAAGAGATTCGTGAAGAAGCTGCAACCGCACCTCGAACTTCTTACTGGAGCAGTACTATASGCTCGAGTGTTTGGATGCACGTCTTTTGTTCATATACCCGCGCAGTTAAGAGATAAATTGTCCTCAAGGAAATCACTTGTGTCTTTCTTGGATATGCTCAGTCCGGGTATAGACGCTATGACGTGAAATCCAAGAGACTCSATGTATCCTTGAATGTTCTCTTTAACGTTTTGAACTTTGGAAGATGGTCAAGGTAGCTTGCTTCCAAGCCACTGCACTAGATGCGCATGTAGTTGTCCACAGGGAGGAACAACGTGTTTACAAAGATCATCGGATCGAACATCAGCAAAAGAAGCTTCTGTATTCTGGACCTTCTATCTTAGGGAAGAGAACAGAAAGCTAAACTTCAAGGGAAAGAAAGAGACAAAGGCAAAAGAAAAATATTTGAGCCTTTTATCCAATACAGTCCTATGTGACTTGGGCCGCGACTTCAAGTCGCTCAGGTCTTCAAACTGGCCTGCACGATGTGCTACAGGATCTGACAATTCACGCCAAGTGTATCGTCGTAGCTGCGAGATATATTTGACTTAAGAGGTCGCTATGTTTGTAACAGATAAATCTGCGACTTGGGCTGGGATCTTAAAGTCACGGGACTGGTAGATTGAGTTTCTGTCTGGGTAATTTGAGTAGCATTCAAATATCACAATGTTACCAACATAATTTTTCTTATGCTATCTATTTTTAAATCAATATATGAAATTTCCTTTGAAAAATTCTTGTTCTATAACTCTTATATAGTCATTCATTAACGAGTGTGTCCATGTTGAGTGCAGGCATCAAGAGCAAGACTTTTTAAGGAATACAAGGAGGTGCAAAGGGAGAAAGTAGCCGATCCAGATATCCAACTTGTTTGTGACGATTCCAACATATTTAAATGGACGGCACTTATCAAGGTGTGCTTGACATTAATAGAAATATACATGCCACACATTTATTCTGTTGTTTGACCAATTAGTTTTTACAGGGACCATCAGAAACTCCTTATGAAGGCGGGGTTTTTCAGCTTGCGTTTTCTGTTCCAGAGCAATATCCCTTACAGCCTCCTCAAGTGAGGTTTTTGACTAAAATATTTCATCCAAATGTACATTTCAAGGTATGGATCTTTTCTTTGTTTTCTTCATCCTTTTCTCTACTAGTGATTGGTATAAATGCATTTGTAAAGGCATGAAAAAGTTAATTGGGATATTTCACAAAGATTGAATAATGACCAAGATATGGACTGATGGATATTTGTTATGTGGTGATTCTTTGCGTTCATAGATCTTTCCTTATTCGTTCTTTTAGCTCTCTTTTATCATATGTAGCCTCTGTTACTTTTTGGCGCAATCAGTTCACTGAGTCCTTGCAAAACTCCCCCTCCATATGAACCGGCAAACGGACTTCAAGCCTTTGGGCTTGACTCGTAAGGAGTTGTTAGCACCTTTGAGATTTGAACCTGAGATTTGTGACATTACTAGGCCAAGTAACTTTTTTCCTAGTTTTTAAGTACTCCTTTAGGCTTTCAATGTTGTTCTGTCAGCATGTAGTGCGTGGTCATCAGTGCATTAAGATTTTGGCTAATCATTGTGTTCATTAGGGTGCTATTTTTACCCTCTTATATGTGGATCAATCTTTTATATACATCATTAAATTAACTATGAGTGGGACATTTACTTAATAGTATTTGCTAGATTTTATCTATCAGTTAGCATGTTACTCCCGCCGTCTCAAGATAAGAGTCTACATTTCTATTTTAGTTTGTCCCAAAATAAGTGTCAAGCGACTGCTTTCCAGTTCTGTTCTCAATTATGAGATTGAGAAATTAATTACTCATTCTATTAGTAAGGGTAAAATTGTCATTTAGTTAATTAAAAGTATATTAAGTACACATTTCTAAAACTGTGTATCCTTTTCATCTTGGGATGAAGGAAGTAGATGACTTTCACATTTCTTTTTTCAGAAGGTATTTTCATGTTGTGTAACTTCATTCATTGCAAAAAATTTCTGGTGGGGCGGTGTCTAAAGAATGTCATTATTCTTGCATAAAAATGAAAAACCAAACCAAATGTACTCGGTATTATCCCATTTGGAAGTGGGGTCTGGGAGGGGTAGGATATACGCATACCTTTCCTCTACCGGCTAGAGAATCTGGTTTCATGAAGACCCCTGGATTGTGAAAAGATTTTGGAAAAGTTTGTGACATTTTTGATGGTTTTGGAGAGGGGGTAGATATATTTGAACCTCCAATTTGAGTTACTTTTATTTGATTTACCCTCGTCATTGTGTAGACTGGAGAAATTTGTCTGGATATCCTGAAGAATGCTTGGAGTCCTGCTTGGACACTCCAATCTGTCTGTAGGGCTATAATTGCTTTAATGGCCCATCCAGAACCTGATAGCCCATTGAATTGTGATTCAGGTAAAGTTTCTTGAATAGTTTGCATTTTTATATTTTGATTAATACACTTCAATTTTATTTATCATCTGATTTCATTTCTTCAATTCTCAATTCGGCTTATGGATATTCTTTTTAGTTGAGACATGTCCTATGATATTGGTGTATCTAAACTTAGCAAATACGTTTTTCTATCCAAATTGTTGCTACATGTGCTTCTTATTTCTCCCACATTAAGATGTGTAGTGCGATTAAAGTTCATTTCTGACAGGATTGTTTATGGTGAGATGGTGGCCAATGGTCTATGATTTGAATAGTATTTCGCAAAGGGAAATGTAACAAATGATTTGGGGCATCTCAAAAATGAAAATATTGCATTATCCTTGGTCTCCTCACAAAACTCGAGTTATTCTGCATACTACTAGGTGTTGATGGTCTCAATATAATGATTGACCAAACACACATTAAGAAATGAGAATTTAGGTACTTTCACTTCTACATAAGCACGTATAAGCTATAATGATGTGCCATGCACTTTTCTTTCTCCTTGTATTTTTTCAATATGTGCTAATCCACTTGCTTGGTAGAACCACATCATTTTCGATTTCTTGCCTATCGACCAAGGGTATGTGCGTAGTTGTGTATAAGTAGAACCAATATTTTGTTCTACTCTAGGCAGTTAATTATGACCTTTTTAAACTAGACTTTTTAACTTAATATCATTCTCAACTTAGCCAGGTGTTTCTTAGGTTTTAAGTAGGAGTTAATTTGATATGTAAAAGTTTTTCCGCTCATCAATACCTGTAAAGAGTTTTGAGTTTGACCATGTTATAAGGAAAATATTCTTCTGAAGATCAATAGTTAGTTGAAGGGCAAATATTGTATGAATGAGGCCTAATCTGAGTTAAGCTTTTGGGTATGGTTTTGATCTACTGATGAAAGGCAGTGACAAAGATTAAGGTAGCAGGAGGGTGGCCAAAAGAGAGAGGAAGTTTTGAGGTTTGATTGGTGTGCTACGCATCTGGAAACATCAAGTTGGATGTTGAGGAAGGTCAAACTAGATAGAGGTGATGAGGGATAGAGAAGGTCAAATTGACTTTGTTAACCAAGACGAAGGCAGACCAAGATTTCGGCAAATAGATCTAGGATGTGGTTATTGTTATCTTGACAATAGAATAGGCTTGTGAGACGAATAAAGTTTCTTAAGAAAGAGCCGATTTCAACATTACTAAGTGATGTTATAAATGATTGGGATATTAAGAATTTACAAAGTCGCAGTTCATAAAAATGATAATGCACACTCGTGGAAGTTGAGGAGATAGCTAATATATTAGTATGGTGTACATGTGGGAGCATTAGTAGTAGTGCTTGACTGTTAACTGATTAGTTGCTTAATCATTTAAGTTTGTTATTTTCAGTTGGTAGTTAGTTTGCAGTTGTTACTATAAATGTGGGGATTTATGATTTTTTTTTCTATTAAGCCAAATCTGTATCAAGCTGGCTATAGTGATTAGGTTGGTTGTATACATTAAGATAAATTGCTGTTTGTTTTTTATGCCGAATAAGTGGTCAGAATGACATAAATTCGATTTTAACTCTAATCAACACATTATTAAATTTTATTATTTTAAAACATTATATACACTCGACAACATACGATCAAAATTAAATAAATGTGGATAAGATATAAAACAACGACAACAGATTATTTGGCCAAAGAACACTAAATGAAGACCATAGGAAAAAGGATTTGCATAAATAGAAGAACCAACAAATGGGAAAAAGAGGGTATTTCTGGAAAAAGGTTGGTTAAATGGGTAAAGGCAACATTAGTGAATTTTAAGCCATCGATTTAGCATTAAGCCATAATCAAACACATCTATATAACCTAACGAATTAAACTGTAAGTCCATTAAGCTAATTAAGCCAAAATCAGTCACCCCTAGCCCTAACTTTACATATTGTAAGAATAGTCATTCATTCAATCAGTAAAAATCTTTGTCAATCTTCGTCTTTTATTTTCATCTTTTTTTCAAAACAGAGCATCCATATTTCCTTGAAATCCAATGATAACATAGTATTAGCACAATTTGTCTGCATGTTTGTCACTCACTCATTCTCGGCTCGAAGATGTTGATTGATTTCGTTGTACCCCTGCACTTATGATTTCATTATTGATGTCAATTGTTTCTCACTCTTGCTTGTCTTCTTGATTGATCGGTATATACTTCATCAATTTTTGACCACTAAACCACAACTGTGTTCTTTCTACTTTATCCTTCTCGTCATTTCATTTTTTTCCGCATTTGATCATTGCTAGTTTTATCAGTCTATTATATTCGATTAACCAGGATATACTTCGTCAATTTTTGACAATTAATCCACAATTGTGTTCTTTCTACTTTGTTTTTCTCGTCATTTCATTATTTTCCCTGCATCTGATCATTTGCTAATTTGACGAGTCTACTATATATGCATCCTTGTGATCATCCAAGGATACAATTAGTGTCCATGGTGTTCAGTGGAACTGCATTTGCTTCATAGAAGAGGTCAATGTTCATAGCTTTTTCTACCAAAAATAAAATTGGTCGTCACCAATAAATGTGAAAAATCATATCAAGATTTACCTAATCTTATTTGGGGAGAGACTCAATGACATGGATCTTGAATGCTTTGAGGGAGGATATTGCGGACAATATGTTGTACAACCCTGATGCTGAAGAAATCTAGAAGGAATTGGAACACAGGTTTAGGCAATCAACCAGAACACAACTGTATAATCTTCACAAGGAGATCTATGGGCTAAAACAAGGAAACAAGTATGTTTCCACCTTTGTTGCTAAGGCCAAATGTCTACGGGATGAAGTGAATGCAATACATCTCATGCCTATCCACACTTATGGATCTGCTGAAGGACTTTCTAAGAAGCTACAAGGTCAAAGACAACAATTTCTAACGGACTCGATGACGGTTTTAAGGTTGTCAAGGAAAACATATTAATGATGAATCCTAACCTTCCTCGGCGTGCATTCACTCTTGTTATAGGAAGAACAACAAAGCGAGAATAGTATGCATTTAACACCTACTGATGTTTTAGACTTTGTCATCCAATGTAGGAGCTTTTAGAGTTTCTTCGTAACATTCTAAGCCAAAACTATAGAAATGACAGTAAAGGGCTAACGTACTTATGCAACTTTTGCTAAAGATTTAGACATACAGAGGATAGATGTGTAAGAAGCATGAGCATCCAAAGATCGAAGTCAAGAACAAAATTGTTGTTATAGCTCATGATGATGCACATGAAAATGTTTCAGGTTCAACAACGGGATGTGAGGGCAAAGTGAGCAAGGGTCGTTAGTTGATTTGTCTTCGAGGTCCGTATTTGATAAAATTGTTTGAACCAAATTCAAGTATAGAAAAGGAATGCAACACAAGGACAACTCACTTCCTCAGTCAAGTGTATAGGCATATCAGATTGCTCTTTCTCAGTAGTGTTTATAATGTTGGTGAAATATGGATCATTGACATAAGGGCTAGTGGTCATATTTGTCATGATCATACTCTTTTCTTCGCCATTTAAATCCTCACCAAACCCCATAAAACGACTCTACCTAACAACACCGTTACATTTGTAAATCAACAGGCTCAGTATAGCTGAGAGCTAATACAATATGTCATTCATCGAGAAACTATGTAAGCAACACTCTTGTATTGTTACATTCACCCCTACGAAATGTATTTTGTAGGCCTCTCTATGAAGAGGCTAGTGGAGTTTGGTAGAGTTTACAATGGATTGTATTTGATGAGGATGGCAAAGAAGACAAGGCTCATGCATATATGGTGCTACTTCCGTGAATGACTATAAACATGCGGTTTCTTCTAAATCTTTTGCTTGCTATCGTTGATGCTTTTGATTGCATCAAAGGCTTGGTCACCTTCTTTTCAATAACTGTATCAAATGTCCTTGGTTTCAAAGCGTACTAATGATACAATTGTAACACCTTGTCAAATTTGTCCTGTGGCTAGACAAGCAAGGCAACATTTTTTCCTTGGTACCACATATTCAAAACATATCTTTGATCTTGTTCATATTGATACTTGGGACCTTATCATAGTCCAACACATGATGATTATAAATATAACCTAACTATTGTGGTTGATCACTCTTGAGCCATATGGGGATCTATTTGATGAGTCGTAAAAACATTGCACTTGCCTTGATCAAAACTTCCATTGCCATTTGCCATGGTTGAAAATTAGTCCTGGACAGCCATCAAAACCATTAGATCAGATAATACCAAAAAGCTTGGGAGTGTGAAAGATACCTCTTAAATTTTATTTTCAAAATGAATTTTTCATCAAACAAATTGCACACCCAAGCACCACAACAAATTGGAGTTGTAGAGAGAGAACATGAACACCTTGATACCTCTTGGAGCTTTCTTATTTCAATCCCATTTACTTGTTAACTGCTAGGGAGAGCGTGTCTTGACAACTATCTATTCCATTATTAGATCTCCATCCATAGTTCTTCATGGTTAATACACTTTCATAGGACCGAGACTATCTCAACTCATATCGACCGTTTTAAGCCATCTAATTAGCCAAGAGTGATCAGCATCTGGATAGCTTATGACTTGGTGAGATGGTGCTCTAAGGTTGATCTTTGGAAATGTACCCAAATATGATCATTTGCATAATTTTGGGTTTTTGTGGTATGTGTCCACTTGCAAGACAGAGACAAGTCTCACCCGGAGTTGTACCATGTGTTTTCTTGGGTTATTCTTTTGGAAAGAAAACCTTAGAAGTTCTTTCACTCAAGACACGGAATCCTAAATTCTAGAGATGCATTTCATGAATCTTTTTATCCTTGTTCCATCATCAATTCTATTTCCCCAATCTTTTCGTGCCTTCCTTAATTGTTCAGGACTCAGAGTTTGAATATGCTACACTTCCCACCTGTGCCTCAAGGTCAAATTCATCAGGAGGGGAAGGTCCTTGAGAATTGTTAAAACACCATCTTATTTGCAGGTTTTTGTGTGTAGTCATGTGGCGATTGATACCAACATCAATAATGAAGTCTTTCTGTCCCAATACCATAACCTCTCATTGTAAACGTACATTGTTTTGTTTCCATACCCTTACCACCCAAAGTTAAATAATTTGTAAAGCTTTAGAAACAACACATGAACCCTCTTCAGATGAGGTGGCAATTGGGTTTTTGCTTGAATGGCGAGAAGCTATGATAAAGAACTTATAACTCTTGCAACTAATAGTATTAGGAGGTATTGGAATTACTTGTAGGTAAGAAGCCGATAAGTTGCAAATGGGTGTATAAACTCAATTTTAATCTAGATTGCATAGTTGAGAGATGCAAATAAGACTTGTCGTTAAAGGGATTATTGCAAGTGTAAAGACCAATCCCATCATGGCATGATAGGGCCATAAACTAGAGACTGACGCTGCAACTTGTTCATTACATTACAGAGATCTATGTGATCCACTCAAAAGGATCATATTGATTACATTGTTACTTTTTTGTCATGGTTAAAATGACTACAATTAGAAGCCTTATTGTTGTTGTCAGGAAGGGATAGAGCATGCCTCAGTTCGATGTAAGTGTCACCTTCTTGCATGGTTCTCTTCATGAGGAAATTTATATATATCTGCCAGAGGAATTTTCCATTTCTTTTTTCAGTTGTAAAGTCAAGAAATCATTGTATGGTCTTTAAACAAGCATCTAAACAATGCTATTCCAAGCTCAATGATGTTCTATGATCTATTTGTTACAATCTCTCTTCAAATGGTTCTTATGTTGTCTTCCTTGCAATTGATGTGGATGACATATTAGTGACCGGGAATAATGAAGTGGAAATGTGCCCGTAGAGCAATTCTGGGACAATGAATTCAAGATTAAGAATTTAGGCATTCTATATTACTTTCTTGCATGAACTTTTTTGCGACTCTTAAAGGGATTATTCTACTCAAAGGAAGTTTACTGGAGCTTTGGTTGATGAGTTTTGGTGTTGGCAACTTTCTTCTTTAGTTAGACAGTCAGACCTCTTGAACATAATCTCAAGTTATCTTCTACCGAAGGTAATTTGTTACCTAACCCGGAGCAATGTAGAAAGCTTTTCGTATTTAACTCGCACCTGCTTGGACATTTCTTTTGTAGTTCAATTCTTGAGTCAGTTGATGAGCTGCCCTCATATTTCTCATTATCAAGCTGCTATTCATACTCTTATATATCTTAAGGACACCTTCTCACCAGGATGATTCTTTAATAAATGTTCGTTTCCTGGAGGTATATTGTGATTCAGATTGGGCTGCTTGTCCTTGCACTAGGAGATCAGCTAGTGGGCTATTAGATTTTGCTAGGAGGAAATCCCATTGCCTGGAAATCCAAGAAACAAGCTATGGTTTCTTTGTCATCTGTAAGGATGACTGGATGATTATAGATCAATTAGGCGTCCGAATACTCAATGCTGAGCTCACATGGCTATCTAGAAGTTTGCACAAGTTGGAGGTTTGTAACGTTACTCCTATCCCTTTTAATTGTGATATCCAAGCTGTTACGAACCATGTCTTTCATGAACGCACAAAACATGTTGGCATCGATTGTCATTTTGTCCAAGAGAAATTGAATGCTCGTCTTAATTATTTGTCCTATATACCTACTAAACATCAGCTGGTTGAGCTGTTCACAAAGAGTCTCTTCAGGTGGAAAATACCATTCTATTCTGAAGAAGTTAGGGATGTTTCAATCTTCACACCCTCGAACTGGAGGGAGAGTATGATGTGCATGTGGGAGCATTGGTGGTAGTGCCTAACTGTTAACCAATCAGTTGGTAGTCGGCAATTGTTAGTATGAATAAGTCTGCTTATTGCAAGAATATTCATTCATTCACTCATTGACTAAAAATGTTGTGCAATAGTCTGTGTTTTATTCTCTTGAGCATCCATCGAGCGATGACATTATATGCATGTCATTCCCTTTTGACTATAATTGTGGTGAAATATAGGAAATCTTCTTCGATCTGGTGATGTACGAGGATTTCAGTCGATGGCTAAGATGTATACGAGGCTTGCAGCCATGCCCAAGAAAGGTTGAATCATCATCATCATCTTTTTCTTCGTGTAAGAGTCCATATGACCAATCATATTGTATTTGTACTTGTTTGTTATGAAATTGGGAAGATGTATATGGAAGATCCTCCCTCTATGGCAAGTAGCTATGATATGAAATGTTAAGGCAACTTAACAGACACATGCATATGCATATCATATATCATATATGATTGATTCTAATAAGCATCTTTCTGTTGGAATCCATAATGCAAAGGTGGTTGATTGGTTGGTTTTAAGCTCTAGTGAATGAGTGAATGAATGAAAATAGTAGTTTGTTTGTTAACCGTATTTCATGTCAAATAATAGAAAAAGAAAAGGATGGAATGAGTTCTGTTTGAAATGTTCTCCATCTCCACCATATTTGTAAGATGTGGATGATGATCATCCACAATCATTGGATGCTCATCCATCCCATAATATCAAGGGGAATCAAATAAATGATGAGAGAATTAACATCATCATCACCGTTTAGGTATTTTTGAAAATAGACGCTACTTTTACTAAACTATTTTGCCAATTGTTTTTGTCATAAATAGGTCTCGTTTGTCATAAAAAATCTCATGCATTTAACCAGAACCCAAAGTTTTTGTCCATTTTTGAGCTCGCTGGGAAGTGGGTCCCACCAACAAGACTTTTGCCATCGTTTTCGCTACTCGACACAAGTTCGCCAAGTAGGTTTTCACCATTGGCAAAATTCATTAGTTTTAAAAAGTACAGGGTGTTAATCATTCAAATGTGAAAATTTAATGATTTTTTAATATAAAAAAATAGTTTAGGGAGTAAATCGTTCAAAACGAAAAGTTTAATTGTTTTTTCATTCTAAAAAAATAGTTTAAGATTTTTTGGTGGGGTGGACCATCCAACACACCCTTCATTTTGAACGCCCTTCCAATTTTTTTTTTACCTTCCGTCTTCCTGAAGAAATCTCCAGCCACGGTCGCCATTGCAATCCCCAACCACTGCCATCCACCTTCGTGCACGGCCGTTTTGGGCTGTCGACCATCTCCCACTACCGTCCACCATACCAAATTGATATCCACCATTACCTCCACATTCGACAACGAGTGTCACGTTTGCTGTACAATTTGATAAACGATGTTTTCAAACATTGGGACATCATCGTCATCGCCGAACTTAAATTTCTCATCATTCACTAGAGGATTTTTGTAAAATAATCTAAATCCACTGCCCAAAACTTGCGTTTTCGTCACATGTCTAACCAATGCAGAATGTGTTACGAGTGAAGGCAAAGGTAAAGGTAATATATACTTTAGGAGCTCCTAATGGTATATACTTAGGGGCTGTTTGTTTACATCTGAATGATACCATTAAGAGGTAAAGGTCTGATTCGGTCAGACCTAATCTTGTTTGGCAAGACTTTTAGAAAAGGTCTGAATGATATTTTTCCTCTTAATCGCTCCTTCATCTACCCCAACCCTATACGATTCAGATCTCATTTTTTCCAATATTATCCCTCGC